TTTAGCAAAGACCAACAACGACTGCCTGCATAGACCCACGCGCGCATTGATGTACACGTAACACACCCGGAGCTACGATGCGGAATTCAACTCGCTGCGATTAAAGCGTGTTACGTAACGCGTGAGTCTTTGGTGTTTTTAATCTGAACCACTCATTTTGACGTCGTCGTTTTCGAGTGGGGAAGATGTTGAAAATAATCTTCTTGGGCTTTTCTTTGGTCTTCATGGGGTCGTTGTCTGTTTTTTGTAGCGGACAGCGGATTGCGCACGCAGTTCCCAATACCAAACAAGCAAAAGTGATATGGGCTTTAACGTTATTGACCTTCTCTTGCAACTTCATACGCTGTCGTTTCACTTCATTTTCTTGCTTTTTATTATTTATTTGTTTTGAATACCAATAATAATCTAAACGGGTTTCCCATACACATGAAAACTATGGGAAAATAGAATGGTCACCCATGAGGACTCGAATCTAAAGTCACTAGTATGTACGACTATTTTTCAGTAATCCAATGCATGCTAAAAATCATTTTGGCTCAATTAACCCTCTAAGGGTCAGTTTGGGATTGCTGTTACTTTAAAAAAAAAATTGTTTCAACTGTGCATTGAAAATAATTAGTTGTAAAGTAAAATAGTTTCATGTTTGGTAAACAATATTTTTTAAGTGTTATTAGTACAAAAAACCTTGTCAAAACTGTTTGGTAAATTTTAATATAAAACAGTTGTAATTGTGAATAATGACTAAAATAGACATGATGTTGAAAGTGTTATGCGCTAATCATGTGGTGGTAGTGGTGGATGTGGTGGTGGTGGTGATGAAGGTGGAGCTTTTAATTTGAAAATATAGTACTTGAGAAGGAAAACTTGGAGAGTCATGAGCCATGCGTATCTGCTTGAAATGAGAGAGTGGCTTCAATAACTCAACAAAGGGTCAAGTTTACAATCACAAGATACAAAATTTTTTGAAAAAATAAGGGATAGTGGCTTCCCCTCATCCATGGCCACCGCCAACCCCTCCCACACCACCTATTCAAGCTATAGTTTCGACCTTACAAATTATAATTTTCCTTCTTATTGAGGAGCTCTGCTTTTTATGGTCCATGTAGTTTTGTGTAATGGTTGCCCAAATTAAAAGTAGGGAGATTCACTATAATATCTAATATTGGAGCCCAAATTATAAAAAAAAACCCTATATAAAATGGACTTTAAAAACACACCCAAATCTCATTTACAACATAACAATAAGGTTTTTAACTTTTTTTAAATTACAAACTGCCATTGATTTCTTAAAACAAACCAAACCCAAAACCTCATAAAAAGCCCAAAACACTCAATGGGGCATCAAAGTAATTTAATAATTAAAATTAAATTCAATGAGGCAAGCTATCATTTTTTAGGTATGTTTATAGAAATTAAATAGTGTAGGGTTTATTTATAGTTTTAGTGCTAAGAATGGGTATTGGACTAAATATCTCTTAAAGGGATACATTTAGCTAGTGATTTTCTACTAAACCACCACATACTCGCCAAATTATATTTATAGTCCATGTAGTTTTGCCGATTTCTCACTTGAAGGACATGTGATTTCAATTTTAGCAATATAAACGCTATAGTTTGTTTAAGATTCCCATTGAGAACAATATGTTAAATCAATAAACAAAACTTGATCTTTTTTTAATGTTGATAAACACTCTAAGGGAAAAATTTATCCCTTTCCCCATGGCACACAAGTTCGAACCTCAGGGTTGAACTCAATGTAACAAAAAAAGGAAAAAGGGGAAATTTACCTTTTAGAGTGTGGTTTAAACCAAAATGCTAGATTGCCACCATTAACAACAATTTGTTAGGGTTTTAAGAATTTTCATAGTAAAGTTAGGGATTCTAAGGTGCAAATTGAAAAAGTTGAGTTTTCCCCTCTATGAGTTTTATCACGTGACTTTGAGGTGCGAATCGAATGATTATACCTCCAAAAAAGTCGACTCTACCCCTCCATATGTTTATCATATGATAAAAACTTAAACTTCTGTGTTTTTGTTTAATGAATTGTCCTTAATTGTAATACTAAGAAATTTATAGGACTACAATGACCTAATTTGAAACTATACGTCTTCAAGTGAACGATTCGCAAAACTACATTGATTATAATTGTAATTTCATTCATAAAATTCAATCACAAATTTGAATAAAAGATATTAAAGAAAAATGTTTTGCTCATTTAAAGAATATATCAAGCATAAGATGAGTGCATGTGACGTCGTGCAAAACGACGATTTTGAGTCTACTATTTTCAATAGAAGTATCGTGCATGTAAACTAGGTGGCTCATTTATTAGCTAGATTCACTCTTAATTGCTTGACCATTTTGAGTCAATTCTTGTCAATAAATGTATCGTGCATGTAAACACAATGAGTCATTTGTTAGCTAGATTTTCTTTTAATACTCGACAATTTTGAGTTTACTTTTGTCAGTAAAGGTATCATGCATGAAATCGCAGTAGCTCATTTGTTAGTTCGATTTACTCTTAATTGCTTGACGATTTGGGTCTACTCTTATTAGTAAGGTGTCATGCGTGTAAGGTGGCTCATTTGTTATCTAGATTTGCTCTTAATTGCTAGACGATTTTAAGTCTATTCTTGTCAGCAAGGTATTGTGCATGTAAGCACAGTGGCTCATTTGTTAGCTGGATTTGCTCTTAATTGCTTGGCGATTTTGAGTCTACTTTTATCGGTAAAAGTATCATGCATGTAAGCACAGTGGCTCATTTGTTAATTGGATTTGCTCTTAATTGCTCGACAATTTTGAGTCTAAGCTTGTCAATAAAGGTATCGTACATGTAAACATATTGGCTCCTTTTTTAGCCTTGCTCGACAATTTTGAGCATACTTTTGTCAGTAAAGGTATCGTGCATGTAAGCACAATGGCTTATTTGTTAGCTAGATTTGCTCTTAATTGCTAGGCAATTTTGAATCTACTCTTTTTAGTAAAGCTATCATGCATGTAAGCACAGTGCCTCATTTGTTAGTTAGATTTGCTCTTAATTGCTCAACAATTTTGAGTCTACTCTTGTCAGTAAAGGTATTGTGCATGTAAGCACAATGGCTCATTTGTTAGCTAGATTTGCTCTTAATAACTAGGCGATTTTGAGTATACTCTTGTCAGTAAAGGTATTGTGCATGTAAGCACAGTGGCTCATTTGTTAGTTAGATTTGCTCTTAATTGCTAGGCGATTTTGAGTCTACGCTTGTCAGCAAAGGTATTGTGCATGTAAGCATAGTGGCTCATTTGTTAGTTGGATTTGCTCTTAATTGCTCAACAACTTTGAGTCTATTCTTGTCAATAAAGATATCGTACATATAAACACAATGACTCAATTGTTAGATGAATTTGCTTTTAATTGCTCTATATTTCTATAAATTGAGGAAGAACCTCATAGGTTATCTTCCTTGACATTTTTTTTCCACGTTGTCTCTTGTAATTGAAAAAAGTTGGTGCTTCCTTGATATGAAGATGAATGTACCAAAATTAGATCTATTAATAAATAAAAACACCATATTATTGTAAGGAATTTGTAACTCAATTGGTTAAGAGTAGTTATCTTTGCACTTGAGGCCTTGTATTTGAATTTATATTTAAAATATATATATATATATTATTTATGCTCTCTATAGTGTTACCAAGAGCATTTTACAAGCATAAATAATTGTAGCTGTTAAATTGACAATTTTACCCTTTTTTACAAATGTGAATTCGGGATGAAGATGTGACCACTTTCACCAATGAACCAAAGAACTGGTTTGTGTTAATTCATTACCCGATTTAAACATGGTTTTTAAAGATTTGAAGATCTAATTGAATCTGTCAAAAAGGAAACAGGAATGGATAGTTGGATTGAACTTTGAACATGAATAGTTGTGCCTGTGGCAAAAAGGAAACATGAATAGTTGTACTGTATCTATGCAAGGAAAGACAGGATCTGACATGGCCTATAATGTAATTTAATATCCGGGGTGCCCTTTTATCAAAAAGCAGAGCGCCCATTTACCCTATGTAAAATAAGGTAAAGACAATGCCGTGACCACTATGCGGAGGTGACAGAAACCCAGCAATATAACAGAGAAAGAGGGAGGGAGAGATAAATTGGTTCAGAAGAAAGAAAGAAAAAAAAAGCAAAACTAAAAAAAGAGAATGGAAAAAAAATAAAAATAAAAATAAAAATTGTAGAGAGAGAAAGAGATAGGGACTAGAGAGAGATGGTGAGGAGGGAGAGCACACTTTATTACCTTTTTTATGATGCACGCATCCATGGCAGAACAGGGAAGGGTACAGAGTACTCTCTGCTGCGACACAAGGGTAGAAGAAGAGATTAGAAGAAACAACAACACCACCTCTACCCACAACAACAACAACAGCTGCTAAGTCTAGAGAGAGAGAAAGAGAAGAGAGAGAGAGTTGAAATGGAACTCTGGCAAATAGTAAAGTAAGATATGATGGAACTGAGAAGGAAGACAGAGAACTTGTTCAGTAATGGTGAGCTACAGAAAAGAAAGAATCAATTTTTTGAAATGGGTTTGTTTAGTTTGAGCTGAAAAGATTTCATGGCATGCAAAGAGTGGATGGTGGGTGTGAATTTGAGGAAGACTCAGAAGAAAAACGAAGAGCTTTTTCTGCACAAATCTAAAAAGAACCCATTTTCTGAGCTTAACCCATTGCTCTGCCTCTTGTTCTTGTTTCCCTGAGCAAATCTTCTGCAACTTGGTTTGATCTTTCCAAAGGTTTGAGCTTTTTTTAATTTTAATTTTTGGGTTTGTGATATTTATGCAAGAGGGATGCCCTTTCATTTTCAGCAAGGGAAGGGGGTCTTAGAAATCGCAAATACAAGCTTAGCTTCAATTTTCACAGACAACGTCAACAGCAACAGCAACAAGTACTTGAGCCAGAAAGACGACTGCTTTTTCTACAACAACAGCTTTGTGAGCAGCGAACCCAACTCTGTTCTTCATATGAGAAGAAGCCCGAGCCCACCCACTTCTGCATCGACTCTCTCTTCGTCTTTCAACGGCGGTGGTGGTGGTGGGGGTGACAAAACGACGCCGCTGGCGGCGGAGACATCGCCTCCGGTGGGACCCGCGTCGACCAAAGACGAGTGGGCCTGCGAGCTTCAATCGATTCCGAGCGGCGGGTTGGAGGCCGTGACTGGATCAGGAGGCGTCGAGAGATGCGGGCTTGGGCTTGGTGGGTTGGAGGACTGGGAGACCATGCTCTCCGAAACGGCGGCGTCTCCGGGTCAAGACCAGTCGCTTCTCCGGTGGATCGCTGGGGATGTGGACGACACGTCGTTTGGGCTCAAGCAGCTCTTGCAGAGCGGGAACCAGAACGGCAGCAACAACAACAACAGCAACCCTCTTGATTTTGACGGCAATGCCGGTTTGGGAATCGTCGATCAGGGCCCGGGTTTCGACCTAATCGGTAGCAGCGTTTCGGGCACGAGTGTTTCGGGGCCGAATTTCGGGTTTTCCAGTTCTGGGTTTGTGAGCAACGGCAATAATAGCAGTAATGGGAAGGTGAGTTTTGTGCCTGGCTCTTCTGGGTTGCTAAATTACAAGGTTTCAAATGTTGGGTTGATGCACAACAACAACAATGGTGGGGGCAACAGTGTCAATTGCAACATTCAAAACCCCATTTTCTTTAATTCATCGAACACTATGGCTCTTCCTGTTTCTTTGCCTCTTGGTCATGTGGTTTACCAGCAGCAACAGTTTGAGAGCAGCCCAGATGAGAAGCCTCAGATTCTGAACCCACAGCTGTTCATGAACAACCCGAATCAGCAGTCTCAGCTTTCTCAAAATCCAAACTTTTTTATGCCACTGGCTTATGCCCAGCAAGAACAACACCACCTGCTTCAGTCCCAGGCCAAACGCCACAACTCGGGTGGAATTGTAGACCCTGGCTCGCATCAGATCCAAAAAGTTCAGTTTTCTGATCCGGGTCATGAGTTTTTGCTGAGAAAACATCAGCAGCAGCAGCAGCAGCAATTTGGGTATCCTCAAGGCATGCAATTTCTGCCTCAGCAGCATCATGTTCCGCAGAAGCCATTGATGGTGCCGAAGCCGAAGGTTGCGGTGGGCCATGGTGAAGAAATGGCTCACCAGCAACAGCTCCAGCATACTTTGCTCGACCAGCTCTATAAGGCCGCAGAGCTGGTAGGGACTGGGAACTTTTCACACGCGCAAGGGATATTGGCGCGGCTCAATCACCAGCTTTCCCCTGTTGGAAAGCCCCTTCAGAGGGCTGCTTTCTATTTCAAGGAGGCTTTGCAACTCCTCCTCCTCATGAACAATCCAGCTACCTCTCCTCCACCAAGAACCCCAACCCCATTTGATGTCATCTTCAAAATGGGTGCTTACAAAGTGTTCTCTGAAGTTTCTCCACTAATTCAGTTTGTCAATTTCACCTGCAACCAGGCTCTTCTTGAGGCCGTCTCAGACACAGACCAGATTCACATTGTCGATTTTGATATTGGGTTTGGTGCTCATTGGGCTTCCTTTATGCAGGAGCTTCCTGTCAGGAATAGGGGAGCTACTGCCCCTTCACTCAGAATCACTGCATTTGCCTCTCCTTCGACTCACCACCCGGTTGAGCTCAGGCTTATGCGTGATAATCTAACCCAATTTGCCAATGAGATTGGGATAAGTTTTGAGCTTGAAGTGGTTAACTTTGATTCTCTGGACCAGAGCTCTTACTCCCTGCCCATTGTTCGAGCCAACGATAATGAGACAGTTGTTGTGAATTTCCCCATTTGGTCTACTTCAAATCAACCGGCTGCGTTGCCCAATCTCCTTCGCTTTGTGAAGCAGCTGTCTCCCAAAATTATGGTGTCCTTGGATAGAGGGTGTGATAGAAGTGACCTTCCATTCCCGCAGCACATTCTGCAGGCCCTCCAGTCCTACATAAACCTTTTGGAATCTCTTGATGCGGTTAATGTGACCTCAGATGCTGTGAACAAGATTGAGAGGTTCCTCCTTCAGCCGAAGATTGAGAGCACTGTTCTAGGGCGTCTTCGAGCCCCGGACAAAATGCCCCTTTGGAAAACGCTTTTTGCCTCTGCCGGTTTCACCCCTGTACCCTTCAGTAACTTTACTGAAACGCAGGCAGAATGTGTGGTGAAGAGGACTCCAGCAAGGGGATTTCATGTGGAGAAGCGTCAAGAGTCACTTGTTCTATGCTGGCAGCGTCGAGAGCTCATCTCCGCTTCAGCCTGGAGGTGCTGAGGAGCAGCATTTTGACAAGCAGGGGAGGTTGGTTTTTTGCAACTCACAATTTATCGCAGAGGTCCAGCTTAGTCTACTCTGATAATATGTCAATAAATATTGAACTATCTTCTTGGCGCCTCTGTTATGACTTAATCCTTGTGAATTGTCACGTTTGTGAGTCTCCTTTGCTTATTGTGTATCTAGTCTAGACAGACTAGTATTTCAACAAATCGTCTAACAGGGAAGCCTAGTAGAGTCGTATTTCTTTTGAGCATGGATATTGGTGCTATGGTACTTCAATGTTTAAATAGGAAAGCTGCATTTTCTTCTGGTTAAGGTGGTTATAATATGTTGTATACTTGGCAACAAATGAACGATAAATGGAAAAAAAACTTACCGGATTTTAATTCATTTTGCGAGTTTTCTAGATTGACGTTCATTCTGTTGGTTTTAGAGACGGTAGTTCATTTGCTTGCTAATTTAATGGTTTTATCGATAGAAGTTCACTTATATAGAAGTTGACTGCCAGATTTTCTGCTGGGTTTTATAAATAGAAGTTCATTCTTGCTAACTTGATGTATGAATTCCGAACTTGCACGTCATGTTGAGAATGCACCTCTCATTTGACACCTTGTTATGTTTCTTTTAACATAGGGTTTCTTGCACTCTTTTGCTCCTTGGTATGTTGAATTGAAGCTAGTTCTCTGTGATTCCACTTAGCAGTTAGTACCACCCAAATGAAGTATTTCTAGCAGTTCTCATGGTAACTAGGATTAAAGTGATTCATCAAACTCCTGTCACTAGGAACTGAACAACTTATAGCGATACTGCTGCATGCGATTTTGGAACAGCTAACCTAGTTACTTGAGATTTTAAAAATAAAAAGAAGAAAAAGAAGAAGAAAACTTGGTGTTGGGTGTTTCATGGTCTTAGGAACAGGTTGTGTAGCCAAAGATTTTGAAGAAAGTGTTTTTGACTCCAAATAAGCAAATACCAAATGGGCACTTAGTTGTGCTTTGAGTGCTAGGACTAAGATGATATGATGTCTCTTTTTGGCCCTTTTCTAGTCTCTTACGGATAAAATGGAATTTCTATTGATGGGTTGTTGTGAACTCCTTCAACATGCTACTTGGGAAATTAATGGATCCTCTTACCATATGTTATATTCCTTGTTTGATTTAAGAGGAGCTTATTCTGAGCTTATCAGATTCTGGGAGGAATATGGTAGAGATGTGAATCACTGACAGACTTAAAAGTGCTTGCTATTCTTGGCAGGAATATGGTAGATATGCTAATTTCAGAAAACTTAGATGTGTTGCTAATTTTGTCATAATTTTGATTGAGAAGTTTTATTGGCCAGGCTTGTTTTTTTTTATTTCCATCGTCGTTGATAAAATGGCGATAGTATTTTATTGATATGATAAACAAACAAGTACATAGCAACTAAAGTGCCAAATATGAATATAACTTCTCCGGCTAATTAAATACAAAAGGTGGCACAGAAAACAGTGAAACGAAAACACATAATTTATTGACATTTTAAAATTATTTTTTTATAGCTTAAACAAACATTTGTTTTTATAATAATAGTGTCTTTAACAATGATAAAGGCTAATAACATGGTTGGGTTGAATTTTGTCATACCATGTCTGATGATAATGCTCTTTTTCCTGCATGTACTACACCAAACACGTAACGCGTCATTCTCCTTCCATCCTCCTCCTTCAAAAGCAACATAATTTTTTTATTTTTTATTCTAATAATATTTTCTTCTTTGTTAAGACATTTTTTTTAAGTTAGAATTCTTTATGCTATTATTATACACAGTGCCCTGTCTTGTAGCCTATTGAAATTTTCCCTAATTTTTTTGATTAGTTTTATGGACACCTACTAATCAAGCCACATGGGCCATGTTTGATTGAAACACCCACTTGATTACTTTATTCACCTCCTAACAGTTCTGTTTTTGGAGGCTTTTGTTTTGTTTAATCAAATACATGCATAATAAACTGAGTTATTTACACTAACACGCCTTGAGGTTTTCGGTGTTTTCAGAAAACCTCTTAAGGTTTTAAAAATTACACAAACATCCCATGAAGTTTTAAATTATTGTCACAATACTATTTTTCTATTGATTTTTCATCCAAAGATTGATGATTTTATATAAAACATTTCTCCAAATGTCGAAGTTAGCTTTTGAGATTAAATAGCACATGCATTTATTAAGGTTAATTTTTTCACTTGCATAAGTTTATTTTTTTTATTTTTCAAATGAAATCATCAAGTTTCGGACGAACAATCAACGAAAATGGATTTTACGAAGACGATCTGTAACCTCAGGAGGTGTTCGTATAATTTTTGAAATCTCAAAGGGCTTTGTGAAAACACCGAAAACCTTAATCTAAATAACTCGGACAAAAGTTAAAAATAAAATAACAAATAACAAAAATAAATTCAAGAACATGCCTAGTATCGACAGCGACAAAGATTAATCACATTTTCTTGCCTTCAATAATTAAGACATTTAGAACTGAGAAAACGTCGGTTTCTTTGAAAACGAACTCCTATAAAAATACCTGCGAACAACCTCGATAATACCCTATAGATTGAGATTAATTAACTCATTTAAGTGCATTAGTTTATCTCCATTTGGGTTAAAGAATGAGGTGTCTGTGTCTGAGGATTTTGTCATTCCCCTAAGGTTTTCCTATTTATTAGTACAAAGGTTTTTTTTTAATTGCTTCTTATTATTTTAATTTCGTGGGTCCACATGGGGTGATTAGGACTTTAATAAGGTGAGCTTATAAACTTTATTCAGACACAATAAAGATGGTTCATTTTGATTTTTATGTAGGGCGGGTCTTAAGGTTAACACGTTGTCTTGTAGTGTAATCACTTTCTAATTATGTTACCACACTTCGTTCGGTGTTTAGGATTATATTGTATTGGATACGTCTCTAAATCTAAAGTATGTTGAAGAAGGAAATGAAGGTGGAAGTGAATGATTCTTAAGTAATCCATCTTCTACCTTCAACTTGGTCTACATTTTTTCATTTCTTCCTTTAACATACTTCAAATATAGAGTTATCCAATTCAATCCAATACTAGGCACCAAACGAGCATCATCAAACATTCATGCATTATTTTCCCTTTTTTAACTCAAAAAATAAAATTACGAGCTTTCCTTCAGAATCCATAGTTGCCTAAGATCATATAAGTGTCACAATATTTGAAAAGTTCCAAACCTAAATACAAAGATTTTCAAGAAGATGATTGATATTAGCAGTTCATCTGCTATTTTTAAGTGAAACGGGTAAGAACAGTTATTGTGGTACTCAGATATCTTTGTGTAATTACCTGGCCAAAACTTTGGGCGAAGTATGTCAATGTGACATAAGAAAGAGAGAGAGATAGGGGTAAGTTGGAAGACTAAATAATAATTTTCCCAATTTATTTCACAAAATTTGGGAAGCCCATGGCTCCAAGCCCAAAGGGGAGGGATTTTTACAACAAAGACCCTGCACTGCGTACACTGTGCGGCTAGTAGTGCACAGTAGAGCTGTGAGCCATTTATTTATGGTTTGGGTGCGCAGGTGGTCCATCCCAGCCAAGCCATTGGGATGTTGGCTCTTTCATCTTTGATCTTTGATCTTTGATTTTGACACACAAATATATTTTATATTTATATCTTTTTCTGCCAAAAGAAAAAGAAAAATTTGTTGGGAAGGAAAAACAATCATGGGCATGTGTGGAAAGGTGATTGGTGCTTGTGATTATGTTTTTCTTAATTTAATATTTATAGCAAATAGCAATTGACCTTTAGGCCTAGTGGCCATCCTCTCTCTCTCTAGCTCTCTAAGAACAAAAGGGCAAAGATAACTAAGGATGGAGATTGGAGTTGGAGAGTGAGTTTTGGACTTTTCTGGGGGTGGATGAGATGGAGAGAGGGTTGGTTGAATGATAAGGACCCCTTATGGCAATGCACCATTAATTTATTTTAAGCATGCTAAACTTGTAGCTGCTTGACATCTGCAAAGAAACTAAGCTAATTTATTAAAAGTTTAGTAAGATAAAAACATGTAGTCGTGGCCTCAGCGGTAAAAGAGTGCGTACGAGATGAGTTATGAAGTCAAATGTTCAAATTTAATTGCTAATTGTGTATGTAAAATCACGAGTTTATGATGTGTGATTTGCGAGTGATTACACGTATTCAGAATTTACTTTAAAACTTTATTTAATTAGTTTTATCTTGTATACTATATCGTTTCGATTCCAAAAAACAAAAACGAAAGGCATTGAAAAAAATATAATTAGATTTGGGAGAAGGGGCAAAAAGAAAACAATCTTTATAATGATCGTTATGATGTAATGGGTGACATGCTACAATTCAACCTTTTGTGTTTTTCAATCAACAACTCAGCTATTATAAAGTATTTTTAGCCTATAATTAACAATAGCAATTGATGATTATTATAATACTAATTTATGAAACATGGTAATTTGTGATGTGAAAAAAGAGTCTAAAAATGATAGATCACAGCCTTTGAATGTCAAGGAAATCAACGGCTCACAGAAATCAAGCCAAGCAAAACTGTGCTCAAGTCAAATTGTAGCAGATCTTCGTGTGTTCAATTTATTATAAGTTTGGAGCCAAATTTAGCAAAAACTTTAGGTTATGGTTAAGTGGGCCCCATGATCTAAGCAGCCTCTCCTGATCTGATCATCAATTTATTATAGTCGTCTAGATTTGGAAATCACAAGTTTAGAACTTAAACCAGCTTTAATTGGTTGTTTTTTAAAACTTAATTACGTGTCATTAATTAATTCCCCTGTCAAAGCATCGTATAAATTTGCTGCTGCGTTTTGTACAAAACTGGAACTCAGAATCAAAATGACTACGGAACTCAAATGGCCCCTCTTTGTGGGACCCCTGCGTGAACTGACTTGTCACTCTCATAATCTGCCACGTGTGTACGGAAGATTGGTGGTGGGAACGATTGATTCTTCTCCTTCATATA